TCAAAGACTTGCAACAGCTTCCCTCTTCAGGTACAAACCTGAGCTCCCACAACAGACATCATGTACTGCTAGCTCCTCAACTCAATAATCCTAACATGCATTCCACAACTCTCCACATCTCAGTCCACTATTCACTCAAACTGACGCCCTCATTTTCTTTTTATCGTGTTCTCTCCATACATTGAACCCGTAAGCCCCTCTTCCATCATGTCATCTGGTCAATCACCGCATCACTCTTTCTCTGCAAGGAGATTAAGGTAGTATGATGGGAAAATTAGTATTTAAGATTATGTAGGAAGATTTTAATGTGAATGTGTATATGCGTATGTATTTGATTGTAATTTGGGAGGAGGGAGAGCAACTTGTATTGAGAGATTCGTACAGATTCATTGATTAACCATTATCGATCTACAAAAGTATGAAATTGTTGGTATTTTTCAATCATAAAATCGGTGCATTTGACATGATGAGTGGAACATATGCCCACTTTTCTTAGAGTGGCGAGGGAAACTCGTAGACGACATTCACGATGCAATCATTTTTTGCGACATGTTTGACGTGACAAGTAGAACTCGTGCATGATTTTCTTAGCGTGGTGAGAGAAATTCGTAAGCAACATTTGTGACGCAATCCTTTTTTACGATGCGTTTGAAGCGACGAGTGGAGCTTGTGCGTACTTTTCTTAACAAAGCAAATAAAAAAAAATCATATGTTATGCTCACGATGCAACGGAAAAATATTTGTGTTGCAAGCTTCCAGCTATCCCATGCACGTCTTTCATGGCGTGATGAGTTCTAAATACTATGATTATGGCTGACCATGCATGCCTTTCTTAGCGTGGTGAGCAGGCTTAGTCTCTCAATGCAGCTCCACAACAGGGAATGACGTCGAGGGGTTGCATAAATTTTGACGAACGGAGACTTGATAAATAAAATTTAAGTTAAGCTTAAAACATAATTTAAATGAAAGAGCTAACAAAAGTAAAAAAAAAGAAGTTAGTTTATCAAAAAAATAAAATTTGATCAAACTTTGTTAAACTTATTTAACTATCACTTCTCTTCTTCAGAAAAGTTGAGCCCAAAAAGAAATATATTGTTCGAACCCACAACTTGTCTTTCTTTAATAATTATTAGGTAGTTAAACACACGAGTTTTAATTTCAAATCTTCTTTTATTTTAAGGAAATAAATTTAGAATATTTGTACTACTATTTTAATAAAAATATAATATATATAAATATATTAAAGAGAAAAGAAACAGATAGGCTGTATGGGTGGGCCTAAAAATAGGCACCCAACCCACACGGTACAACACACATAAAAAAGTTATAAAGCCTATAAAAATCAAAAAAGCTAAAAAACTACCAGAGTGCTTAAAAAGTGAGGGTCATCCCAATCTAGTCCTGCCTCTGGCTCTAGTTCTCAGAAGGGATCCAGCTAACAGATTGGTAAGGTGCGTACCATTACTCGAAGTAACCAAAGGATCTTCATTCTTCTTCTTCCTCCTGGAAGTGTAAACATGTCATTCCTCATTCGAAGAATCAGTCTGATGAGGTAGTAGAGCTAAAGCAGAAGGATTACCAACCGTAATACCCACAAGAGGTTTCATAATATTTGTAATAGCTCGAACTTTCATACAACGAGATATTGTCCGCTTAGGCCTAATGACCTCACGATTTTGTTATATTGATATAGCTTCCCAGAAGGTCGCCCATCCTAGGAGTGCTCCAGCACTAGCACATACATGTTTTGAATTTTTTATGAAATTCCAACTCTTACACAAAAAGGCTTCTCAATATTTAAGAGTTTATTAACATTTTACTTAAGGGGTACACAAATTCCCTCACTTGAGTAACTAATGTCCTCATCAATTTTCTTAACTAATAATTATCCAACAGAGAGATATTTCTATCTTTAAACTGGTGTGATGCTCTCATGTCATTTATACCAGTCTGAGCTCTCACCCATCGAGATATTGTCCGCTTTGGCCTACTGACCTCACGGTTTGACCCATTTGTGTAACTTCCAAGGGGTCACCTATCCTAGGAGTTCACCAATGCGAGCAAGCTAAACTTTGAAGCTTTTGGTGAAATTTCAACCGTTACACTAAAATGCGCATCGATGTATAAGAGTTTAGCTGCATTTTACTCGAGGGGTTTCACAGAATCGCAGCAACAGCAACAAAAAGATAGAACCAAAATAAATGGAAGAACACAAAATTCATATGAAGATGGAGCTTCTTTATCGAATGGAAAAAAAAGGAAACATAAAATGGGTTGGTGATTGCCCATACCCTTTCGAAACCTATCTATGAGAAGTTATATATCATTCCAAAAAAGCTTTGCCACCTCAAAAAAAGTATATATAAGAAACTACACCTTGAAATCTTTCCTAAAAAATAAAAAATTGGGAGAGAAAATATTAGTTTTGTTAAGGTGAATATTACACTAATTCCATTTGAAAAGGAGGACCTATCTCTATCTTTGATGGCAATGCAGATGAATATAGCAGTGGGGTCATTCTCCAATAAAGCGCAATATAGAAGTTGCTCGCTCTAATGATATCGGTCCAAGTGATGATCAATGCCAAGATCAACAATGAGATCTAAAAGAACCTCACTTCTACAAATCTGATAATTTAATCAGCATTCCCAAACATACCCCATCTAAATGCTTACTTTTGGATTGTATTCAAAAGTGACTAAAGATTACATTGATAGCAAATATTGCTTAAAATTTGTAGTCATCAAATATTACATAGATGAAAATATAGGTATGCGGGATGATTCTACTGTTAATTAACAAGTCAACTTTTACACTGCATGATAGCCATATGGAACTACTCAGCACACAAAAGAAATACCCTTCTAGAAAAGGACTACGTCATGTCAATGAGAAATTTCATAGCAACACATTAAGCATGTATACTTGTCAACACAAGCCTAAGCTCTTATTGGCGCTAATTTACTTCGATAAAAATGAAGTATCAATGCCCTACCTTGAGTAAGAAAGGTAAAATGCAAATGCAGCTGTTGAATAAGGAGAACGTATCACTTTTCAAAGAGGCACAGGGTTTGCTACCAAAGAGATGTATCAAAGATGACTCCGACATATCAATTTAAACACAAGAGATAGCTAAACTTCATGATCTAAAAGAACTCAAAAAATTAAAAAAAAAAGAACAAGAGATAGCCAAACTTCAAAGAAGACAAAGGAGAAGTAAGAAAAAAACACAAGAGCAGCCATAATCCAAAAGAATACAAAAAATAAAATAGCACCCAAACTTCATGAACTTGTTATAATCTAAAATTTTAAATTTTAAAAGTTGTTTCTAAAATCTCTTTGAAATATCTTAAAAATCAATTTTGCAAAATAAAACCCAGTAATATAATTGAAACCCTGAAAGGCAACCTTCCCCCACTCTAAGTAATGCTTGCTTTCATGGTAGTGAAATCATTCTAAAAGAGAAACCAATGTTCTATGGGTCAATCTAGCAGATGATCAATCTAATCAACTATGATTGCAATTTATACATCAAATTGCGAAAAGATGAAAATGATTGCATTATTCAAAGTTTTAAGCGTTCGATCTCTTGATAGATTACTACTGATGCTGATTTTCAAACTACACCATTGAGAATGAAGTTCAAGTCAACAAAAGATTAGGAATTATAACAAATCATCGATTTGATGCCTGATGAACAAGATTTAAAAACAATAAATCCAGATTGTTGGATGTGATTTGAACAATAAGGCAATGGCAACTTTTGAAAGTTAAACTTGTTGTAGATAATTTTGTATTTTGAATTTCAAGTTGAATTTCCTACTTTTGGGGAGTTGATTTAGAAAAGGAAAAGATTATTATTTAAATTGCAACTTTATATATGTTTCTTTCTCATTCAAAAAAGTTAGATAGTTTATGATAAGATAAATTAAAATAATTCATACTATTTTTCGCCCATAAATAGACTGTTTCGTATGATAAAATTTTGTATAAAACACCCCAAATCCACACACTTTCCCCTCTTCCTCTCCCCCCGTGGATAGCTATTTCAATCTGCTCTAAGAAATGCTGGTCCTCCCTCTGGAGATCAAATTATCTACAGCCAACTGTTGTCCAAGCTACCAGCAGCTCCCTTCTAGTTCTAGAACTGCTGGCTGACTGTTGCTGCTGCCATGGAGCACCACTAATGCTCAGGTGTGGCCGAAACAAGGCAGAAACAACAACACACTTGCTATATCAGAGCAGAAAAAAGGCAAAAATATCAACTTGCTTGTGATTCTGGTAAAGAACAGACATCACAAAGAACAATGTATTTGTTTTCCAAAGCAGAAAAAGTCAGAAATCAAAGTTAGCAAGCTGTCGATTGCAAGTCAATATCCAAATTAAAGATAAAAAAAGCATTAATATTGTAAAATAATGCTCAACCTATCTTTAGTTTATTGATAGATCATGAGAAAACATCTATAATAATCCCTGAAACCTTTCTGAACTTATTTTTGCCTCTTAATATGGGCTTGTGTTATTCTTAATGTTAAGAGCTTGACTAAGAATCAGTTAATTCGCAAGCTCAGTAATATAACATGGCCAATTTATTTTTATATTTTATAAAATCTCCTTCAAACCTACATGATATTCTGTCTAACCCATCAAAACGTAAAGAAAACTCCAAATCTTAAGAAGTAAAATATGATCCTCATAATTATCTCCCATTCTGTTCATTTTCATATTCAAAGTTAACGAAAACATATAAAATATAATTTTGTATGCTCTTTATATTTTCCCAACTCAACTAAAAGCTTGCTGACCTTCCACGCATAAAACTCCACGTGAGAGACAGATGGGAAAACATTAAAAAAAATAAAGAAAGAAAACCAAAAACCAGCTTTTTAATAGCCAATAGTCATGAAAAAACGCTAGAAAAATCAACTAAGCATTAGGAAAAACTAACTTTAAATATTGCGTTAAGAATTAATGAAGGAACAAACTAAAAAAACACAAACCTGACACATCATCCCTTCCACGAAGCCTCTGCAGAACCTTTTTGGCCTCCACCATTCGCCCCTTGCTTACAAGCCACCGTGGAGATTCAGGCAAGAAAAAAATCGTTAAGACCAAATACACTAAAGAAGGGATCGATAGGACTCCAAGCATCACTCTCCAGTTGGGATTCACCATGAGCGACATCAAAAACACCATAACATATGATAAAAACATTCCTCCAGATCCACTAAATTGCGGAAGTGTGTTTAGCTGCCCTCTTATCTCCGGCGGAGAAGTCTCAGAAATATAGACGGGAATGAGCGTGACAGCCAAACCAACTCCAAAGCCATCGATGAGCCTCGCCAGAAGGAGGATGTAAACATTTGGAGACCAGAGCATCACCACTCCGCTAACAAAATAAAGGATTGATGACAAAATCAGCATAGGACGCCTCCCATATCGATCTGAAACAGGTCCAGAGAATGTAGTAATAATGGTAGCCCCGATAAGTGACATGGCGACGATTAATCCTTCAATAGTAGGCTGTGTTTGCAGCTTAAATTCCCTTTTAATATAGATAACAGCTCCTGCATGGATTTGGATTTAAAAGATGAGAATCTGAGTACAAATTTTTCAAAAATTCAGCTTGAGTTAAAATTTATAATAAAAATTTTCAAAACTTTTTATGGTATGTGCACAAAAACATGGATTTATAAGAAAGATACTGTAAAAAAATAGTATACCAGCAATTGTGGCATTGTCCCAGCCCTGCAACAAGTTGCCTATAGTGGCAGCTATGGCTATAAGAACAGCTCCGTCCATCTTTCCGGTGAGGAATGGCGTGTTAATCAGAAACAATAGTCGTCTGCAATACAAACACACGTTGGAAGCCTTCGACTGAAAAAATCAAAACCCAATTCCATCAAGAGAACCCCCTACGTAAAAATCAAAGAGACTAAAAGAACAGCCACTCAAAATACGGAATAAAATAAATAAAATAATCCACTCACGCTTCGAAGATAATCGGAAAAAGGGAATTATCAATCAACAGAAACGGCAAGCCGGACGATCAGTGCGAAACATGATCATAGATGAACCTGAATAAGATGGCCGACATGCCCAGAAAAACCCTAGGGTCAAATAACGCGCTCAAATATAACCGCAGAACAGACAAAATTGAACAAGAAAAACGAAAATCGCCATCGAAATTTAAAATATCTAATTTCCAACCTCTACACGAACGCTCGCTACACTCTCCCAAACCCACGGTTCAATCACCTGAAAAAACCACCAAACAGTTCAATCAACATGAACCAAGAAGGCACCCTTATGATTGAAAGAAGGCAGCAAAACTGAAATTTATCCGGGAAAATTGTTCAGAAACATACAGCTCTATGAAATCTCCTATATCCTACACTCTGTACCAAAAATGAGTGGAGATCGTCTGCACCGCCCTTTGGGGTATTCAACCTCGGGAAAGAGCGAAAATGGGTTGAAGAGATGACGACGAACTCCAAAGCATAGCTGTAATCGCTCTGTCAAAGCTTCGCCCTTCACATTCAGAAGGTTCAATATGATCCGGGCCTTCTTGGTCGAGTCGGAACTCTGAATCCCTAGACCTCGAACAGTTTCGCGATCCCAGAATCCTGCGTGAAATATGAACCCACTCACACTCGAGTCAGGAGAAAGAGAATCCAAGAAGAGAGAGAAAAGATGACGAATATACCCGCTGTAACCCGCCACGTTAACATCTTCCTCTGGCACGTATGCATCTGAGCGCGACAAAAAAAAAAAAAAAAAAAAAAAATTTATATTATCTATTATATATGTACCGCTTATTTATTAGGTATTTGCATTTATGACATCCAAATATATTTTCTAAAAATAAAAAATATAAAACAAAACATATCAAAAAAATAAAAATAAAAACAAAAAAAAAGTTAAAATGATGATAGTTTTTATTTTATATAAGAATTTAGTTGATATATATATAAAATAAATTTTTATTGGTTTGATATATGAATTCATATAAATTGAGTGGTAAGTACGCAAATGTTCCCCGTAAAAATATTCATACTATTTTGTTATTTTTATGGCTAATTAATAAAATTAAAATTTCCATTTAATTTTAGTTTAACTTTATAACTAAACATATAAAAAATATATTTTTTAAACTTATAAGTATAATTGAATTGTTAATTTTGAAGAAATAATAATGTGCTTACTTATGGTGTAAAGAAATAATTCAAACAAAAAAAGCAAGATGCTGCAATTTCAAATTAGCTGTAGTTATCAAAATAATAATCTTTAATGGAGGGTAAAATAAATAGAATTGCAAGAGCTCAATTATTAATATGTTTGTCTTCGAATAAATTTATAATGTTGATCCATAGCATTCAACGAACTTGTTAGAAACGGTGGAACTCGGTCTACTATGTTTGGGAGATTACTTTGCTTTGGAGAGTCACACCTCTTCACAAATAACCACTCCCGTTTTTCTCTTTTCTGAAGTGAAGTATCTCTTCGCTCCCTCCTGCTCGTGATAAAAGCTTCGGATGGCTCTCCTTGGGTTTAGAAGTCACGGTTTCCTCATGATAGAGGAATGTTTCTTAGGGGCAGAGGAAGAGAAGTGCAAGGAGAAGCAGCTCCTTGCTATAGAAGAAAGAAGAAAAATATTGTTCTCCCTAGGCTTCTTCTTGGTGGCTTGTGGCAGAAGTGAAATTGAGTTTATTTCTCTTGTAAGTTTGTCTTCTTCAGTGTATCTCGGTGTAGAGTTTTCTTCAGTGTATCTCGGTGCAGAGTTTTCTTTCGGTGTATCTGGGTATAGAGAGAGAAGAACAGAGAGAGAAAAAAAGAGAGAGCAACGAAGAATAAGAGATTCCTCTTGTAAGTCGAGGTGATTTACTGATGTAAATTCCTCTAGTAGTAAGGTGTTGTTCTTTTCTGTTGTGATTTTTCTCGTTCTATTTTTTATATCTAGATCTCGCAGATGAAGTGAAGGTTGAGCAATTAGTATATCTAGATCTCGCAATAACAACAACTTGTATCAGAGCTTTGTTTTGGATCTGAGAAAGAATGATGACTACTGCAGATGAAGTGGAAGTGAAGGTTTCAGGGATCGAGAAATTTGATGGCACAGATTTTGGTTATTAGAGAATGTAGATAGAGGATTATCTTTATGGGAAGGAACTTTATCTTCCGTTATTAAGGAAAAGACCTGAAAGGATGGATGAGACTGAATGAAATTTGTTGGATTGACAAGTTCTGGGGGTTATTCAATTGACTATATCGAGGTCTGTCACACACATCGTTATCAAGGAAAGGATGAGTGTAGATATCATGACAGTCTTATCAGGTATGTATGAAAAGGTATCGGAGAATAACAAGGTGCACTTGATGAAGAAGTTATTCAATTTGAAGATGGCGAAAGGTGTTTCTATTGCACAATACCTAAATGTTTTCAATACTATCACAAATCAATTTTCGTCAGTGAAAATTGATTTTGATGATGAGATGTGTGCATTAATCTTTTTGGCTTCATTGTCAGATAGTTGGGAAGCCATGAGGATAGCAGTTAGTAGTTCTGCAAATAAATCTAAACTGAAATACGATGATATTCATGATTTGATTTTGGCTGAGGAAGTTCAAGGAAAGATTTTAGCGAGGTCTCTGGTTTAAGTTCGGCATTGAATGTTGATTTCAGAGGTAGATGACATGACAAGAACTTAAATATAGGGAGATCAAGATCAAAGTTTAATAAGCAGACAACCTGTTAGAATTGTGGCAAGGCTAACCTTATAAAGAAGAACTGCAGAAATTCTAAGAAGAAGGAGAATGATAGCGCAAGTGTAGTATCTAAAGAATCACAGGACGCACTATTATTGACAGTTCATAGTTCTGTTGAAGACTTGATATTGGATTCAGGGGCTTTGAATGTGGTAGGAAATCTACTAGAGGCCACAGTGTAGGTCGGTGATGGAAGTGAAAAGGAAAGTGGGACCTAGGCACCCATTCATATTGTTCCACAGATGTTGAAGAACCACAGAGCTATGAAGAAATATTGCAAGATGAAAGTTTGAGCAAGTGGGAGCTGACAGAACTTCCACCAAGGAAGAAGGCATTGCACAATAAGTGAGTGTACCGGTGAAGACTGAGCGTGATGTCAGTAAGAGGTACAAGGCTAGATTTGTTGAAAAGAGCTTTCTGCAGATGCAGGATGTTGCCCATACAGTGGGAGTTGTAAGAAAAAATAAGAGTGACCCAAGAAATAGCTTGGAGATGCAAAGCTATGTGGAGCCTGCTGATATGTTGACTGAGGGTGTTACTATTGAGAAACTGAAATTGTGCACAGCTTCATTTGGTTTTCTGAAGTGAAGACAGAGGCTTTGAGTTGCAAAGGTGGAGGATTCGAGTTGGAGGATTCAAGGTGGAGCATACATGGTTGAAGAAAATGAAAACGCTGCAATGGAGGAGATCAGTTTGAAGAAGGAGATGTTGCAGCCTGTGTACCGGTCTCCAAGTGACAGAATTGTTAAATAGTGGAGCTCGGTCCACTATGTTTGGGCGGTTAATTTGCTTTGGAGAGTCACACATCTTCACAAATAACCATTTACGTCTTCCTCTTTTGTGAATTGAAGCATGTCTTCGCTTCCTCCTGTTCGTGATAAAAGTTTCATATGGCTCTCATTGGATTTAGAAGTCATGCTTTGAGTTCTTCTTCGTTTTCCTCGGGATAGAGGAAGGTTTCCTCAGGGCAGAGGAAGGGAAATGCAATGAGGAGCAGTTCCTTGCGGCAGAAGGAAAAAGAAGATTGCTCTTCCTAGACTTCTTCTTGGTGGCTTATGGCAAAAGAGAAATTGGATTTATTTCTTATGTAAGTTTGTCTTATTCTGTGTATCTCGGTGTAGAGTTTTCTTCGGTGTATCTCAGTATAAAGAGAGAAGAACAGAGAGAGAAGAAGAGAGAGAGCAACGAAGAGTGAGAGATTCCTCTTATAAGTCGAGGTGATCGACTGGTGTAAATTCCTCTAGTAATAAAATCCTCTGCAACTCCGTGGACGCAGACAATTTGTCGAACCACGTAAATTTGTATGTTCCGCCGTGGTGTTGTTTTTTTCTGGTGTGATTTTTCTTATTCTATTTTTTGTTTCGTCGATCGTTCTCCTATTTAATTTATATATATACCACATCAACTGGTATATCTAGATCTCGCAACAACAGTAGAACTTATGAAATATAATGTGTGTATATGGCTTGCATTAATCTTACAAGTGATAACAACCTATGAAGTCAGGCAATATCGATGTGGTCAGTCAGTAGTAGTCAAAAAGATTATATTGAGGAAGAGATGACCAAAAAATGTAAGTGAGTAGTACTCAGATGACTATAGTTAGAAAACGACAATCATGCAAATATATAAGTCTGGTGAGCAATATGAAATAATGGTGGTCATGAGATAGTGACCAGACAATCGTAATTGAGAGGCTATAGTTAGGTGAAGGTGGTCGAGCAGTTAAAATCGAGCGATCAGGATTAGAATAAAATAAAATAAAAAAACCTTAGTTAATTTACAGTAATTTAGCGATAGTCACAAGGTGTCGGTGATGAGAAGACCACTGTGGAGCGACCATGGTCAGGTGGTTATAGTTAAGTGACAATAGTTAGTATTATGTAGTGAGACAACAATGTTCAGGTGACTCTAGCTGAGGGGCCATAATCATGCGACGACAGTCAAGAAGTCAAAATTAGGCAATAACGATTTGGTGATCATAATGTGGAGATTATAGATAGGTTATAGTTCTTGGAAATTTTTTTTTATAAGATAGTGGTCAGAAGAACGTACACAAGTGGTCGTGGTAAGTAAACTGCTGATGGTGTACATTGAACATCATCCAAGGACAATAATTGGGACGTTGTGGTTGGATGATGGTGATGGGGCATTCATATTCATGCGTTATGCTAAAAAAAATAGACAATTGATGACAACCTGATAACAGTGGTTGGGTGACAATATTCAAATGTGAGCCAATGGCGGTGTGGATTTGACTATGGCGGTATGAGCTTAATGATGGACAAATAGAGCTTTAGGATTCTCTAAACCATTGAGCTCTTTCTTCTCATTTTCTAGGCCTTATACTCATAGAAAAAATAAATTTGTTCATAAATATGTGTAGTGATATTATAGTTATTTATTTACATAATTCTAAAATATACTACCAATCAGTTTGGATCCATCTTCCTTAATTATACAATATTTTTTTAATATTTCAATGTCTTATTACATTCAAAATTAAACAATTTTAGACTTATTGTAGTTTTCTTATCAAGTAGAGTTCGAATTAATCATAAATGTTCAGCATTTGAAGATCATTTGTTCACCAATTAAATATTTTAAGTTTTCCTATGTTCGAAACGTCCGATTCGAGCTCATTTGAAGTCAAGTTCGATCATTATTTTACGTCGATAGATTCATCTCATCGAGAAACTCAAATTTACCATAAATTTATCGGAATCGGAATTCAAATGCTCTTAAATTTAATTTCAAAATATTCCAACTTAAATAGGCCTCTATAATAAGCTTTATAATCTTAAAATTTGTTTTGAGACATGTATAACATAAAAATTTGCTGATTGCTTATTTATTAAAATTATGTCAAATTAAGTCTCAGAAACATTATATTTATTTTAATAATTTTTTTCATAAGATAAACAG